TACATACAAGGGAATACTACTCAGCAATTAAAAAAAATGAATTTCCAAGATATCTTGGGACATGGACGAACCTAGAGGGCATTATGTTGAGTGAAATAAGTCAATCACAAGAGAAAATATGTTCTTGCCTTTATGAAGTGACATTTTGTTTCAAAATTATATATGCCATAGCAATTACCAGGTTCTTTTTTTATTATGTATACGGCATTAACAAGATACAAACTGTAACTAACAACACACAAATTCCAGAAGATAAGCTAGATAACTGGGATCTTCTAAAATAAACACTTATGCTCATCAAAATACTTCACCAAAAGACTAAAAAGAGAATCTATAGACTGGGGAAAAAATTTTGGCTATGACAAATCCGACAAGGTCCAATCTCTAAAATCTACAGGAAAATCCAACACCTCTACAACAAAAAGACAAATAATCCAATTTAAAAATGGACAAAGGAAATGAACAGACATTTCACCAAAGAAGACATTCAAGTGGCTAACAGACACATGAGGAAATGCTCGCAATCACCAGCTATTAGGGAAATGCAAATCAAAACCACAGTGAGATACCATCTCACCCCAGCATTACTGGCATGAATCAAAAAAAAAAAAAAATCAGTGTTGGAGAGGCTGTGGGGAGACTGGAACGCTTATGCACTGCTGGTGGGAATGCTAAATGGTGCAACCATTTAGGAAAACGATATAGTGCTTCCTTAGAAAGCTAGAAATAGAAATACCATATAATCCAGCAATCCCACTCCTAGGAATATATCTAGGAGAAATAAGAACCACCACATGAATAGACATATGCCCACCTATGTTCATTGCAGCATTGTTCACAATAGCAAAAAGACGGAAACAACCCAGATGCCTATCAACAGATGAATGGATAAACAAGCTACGGCACATACACACAATGGAGTATTATGCAATGATAAAGAACGATGATGAATCTGTGAAGCATCTCACAACATGGATGAAACTGGAGGGCATTATGCTGAGTGAAATAAGTCAATCACAAAAAGACAAATATTATATGAGATCACTAGTATAAAAACTCATGAAGAGGTTTACACATAAAAAGAAACAATCTTTGATGGTTACGAAGGAAGGGAGAGGTGGGGATAGAAAAATACTAAATAGACAATAGGTAAGTGGTAACTCTGGTGAAGAGTAAGACAGTACACAATGCTGGGGAAGCCAGCACAACTCATCCAAGGCAAGGTCATGGAAGCTCCAGAGACACATTCAAACTCTCTGAGGGACCGAATTACTGGGCTGAGGGCTGTAGGGACCATGGTCTCAGGGAACATCTAGTTCAGTTGGGATAACATAGTTTATAAAGAAAATGTTCCATATTCTACTTTGGTGAGTAGCGTCTGGGATCTTAAGAGATGGATCTTAAGAGATCTTATGATCCACACAGTCGAATGCCTTTGCATACTCAATAAAACATAGGTAAACATCTTTCTGGTATTCTCTGCTTTCAGCCACGATCCATCTGACATCAGCAATGATACCTGGGTTCCAAGTCCTCTTCTGAATCCGGCTTGAATTTTTGGCAGTTCCCTGTTAATGTACTGTTGTAACCACTTTTGAATGATCTTCAGGAAAATTTTACTTGTGTGCGATATTAATAATATTGTTTGATAATTTCCACATTCTGTTGGATCTCCTTTCTTTGGAATGGGCACAAATATTGATCTCTTGCAATTGGTTGGCCAGGTAGCTGTTTTCCAGATTTCTTGGCATAGACGAGTGAGCACTGCCAGCGAGGCATCCATTTGTGGAAACATCTCAATTGGTATTCCGTCAGTTCCTGGAGACTTGTTTTTTGCCAATGCCTTCAGTGCAGCTTGGACTTCTTCCCTCAGTAGCATTGATTCCTGATCATACTCTACCTCCTGAAATGGCTGACCATTGACCAATTCTTTTTGGTACAGTGATTCTGTGTATTCCTTCCATCTTCTTCTGATGCTTCCTGTGTCGTTTAATATTTTCCCTGTAGAATCCTTCAATATTGCAAGTTGAGGCTTAATTTTTTTCTTCAGTTCTTTCAGCCTGAGAAATGCCAAGCGTGTTCTTCCCTTTTGGTTTTCTATCTCCAGCTCTTTGCACGTTTCATTATAATACTTTACTTTTCTTCTTGAGCCACCCTTTGAAATCTTCTGTTCAACTCTTTTACTTCATCATTTCTTCCTTTTGCTTTAGCTACTCTATGTTCAAGAGCAACTTTCAGAGTGTCTTCTGTCATTCATTTTGGTCTTTTCTCTCTTTCTTGTCTTTTTAATGACTTCTTGCTTTCTTCATGTATGATGTCCTTTCACAACTCATCAGGTCTTCAGTCACTAGTGTTCAACACGTCAAATCTATTCTTGAGATGGTCTCTAAATTCAAGTGGGTCATACTCAAGGTCGTACTTTGGCTCTCATGGGCTTGTTCTAATTTTCTTCAGCTTCAACTTGTGTATGAGTGACTGATAGTTTGTTCCACAGTTGGCCCCTGGCCTTGTTCTGACTGATGATATGGAGCTTTTCCACCCTCTTTTTCCACAGATATAGTTGATTTGATTCTTGTGTATTCCACCTGGTGAGGTTCAAGTGTATAATTGCTGTTTATGTTGTTGAAAAAAATGTATTTGCAATGAAGAAGTAGTCGGTCTTGAAAACTCTATCATGCTATCTCAAGCATAGTTTCTATCACCAAGGCCGTATTTTCCAGCTACCAATCCTACTTCTTTGCATTGCAATCACCAGTAATTATCAATGCATGTTGATTCCCTGTTCGATAAATTTCAGACTGCAGAAGTTGGGAAAACTCTTCAATTTCTTCATCTTTGGCCTTAGTGGTTGGTTCATAAATTTGAATAATAGTCGTATTAACTGGTCTTCCTTGTAGGCATATGACTATTACTCTATCACTGACAGCATTATATGTCAGGATAGATCTTGAAATGTTCTTTTTGACAATGAATGCAACACCATTCCTTTTCAATTTGTCATTCCTGGCATAGTAGACCATATGATTATCTGATTCCAAATGGCCAATACCAGTCCATTTCAGTTCTCTAATGCCTAGGATATAAATGTTTATGCATTCCATTTCATTTTTGGTGACTTGCAATTTTCCTAGATTCATAATACATACATTACACTTACTGGTTGTGATGGTTAAGATTGTGTGTCAACTTGGCTGGGCCATGATTCTCCGTGTTTTAATGTAATCACTCCCATGATTGAATATACTGTGTGTAGCCAATCAGATGAAAGGGAGTCTCCTTGGGGGTGTGGCCCACATTTGTATATAAGCAGACGTTCTGGCTTTTTGCTCTCTCTGGATCCTGCGGCTGCTTCCTGTCGTCTCATCTCC